TATTGTAAATTCTTGAATAGACATTTAATGATACTAGAAGTAAGTAGACTTAAGAAATTAATGTTATTTCTATTTTTATTATTTTCTCGTAAGTGTGAGAATTTGATGTGGGAACTAGAGCATCCCGTTACGTTTATCATTGGTTGGTGTAATTTACGCGACGCTTTTCATTGGTCGCGTTTCATGATGTCATTTTACTACGTATATAACGAAGAGTTGAAGCAGACAACTGGGATTTTGACTGTTTTTGAGTTCTAGAAAGGTGTGTTATTTGAGTTTGTTAATTTTATTACATTTATTACGGGATTAAGACTTTAGAATATTGGGATGGAGTTGGTCATGGTTTGTTATAAATAAGTAGGTTTATTTACAGCTATTTACTGAACTGTTTACCATGATCTAACGGTCTAAAATTACTACAGTCAATTTACGGATATTTTATCCGTTGTAATTTCAATTACTGGTTCAATTTACCAGTCCTAATATCAGTACAAGTACAAAATACGTAGGTTTTAAGCATTTATTTGAAATTATTATTTTATTTGGAATTTTTGTTTTATAGAAAAGAATATGTGCTCAGAATAAACCGTTTATTTGTTAACTTTACAAGACTTGTCTTTATTTCATTTTCGTCCTGAATTTGGAAGTAAAGAGAGAAAAGAATTCATTTTAACATAATTGTCATACACCAGTGCGCTTATCCGGTGTCGTTACAATATTTTGGCATCCACGGCGGGATCTGTTTAAAAAAAAAACAGATCCAGTGATCAACCCCCCCCTTCCTAAGAAAATTATATATATCTGTTATATTTACAGATTCAGTGGTTTTTTTTGTTGAAATACAAGTCTTGTTGGTTATTCTGGATTACATTATTGAACATATTGATTATCACAAAATGGGTGGTAAATGCAAGACAAGAAGTCGTGCAAAGGTTCGAGGTCGTAGCCAGTTTTCTCCCCTGAGCAGAGTTGTGTCAGATGATGAAGAGATCCGCGAGATTTTGAATTCCAGAGAAGATAGTCCAGTAAAGTATTCCAGATCTGAAAATGAAAGAAATCATTTTGAAACTGTAATACCAGTTAGTCATACTGAGCCAGAAAAGAGCCCAGTTACAATGATAGGGTCACCTCTTACCCATCAAAAGTTAACTCCATTTACAGGTGATATACCTGTTACTTGCAAAAGTATTCTTACACCTGCAAGTCTCACAAATGCCGTCCAAGTGACAAGCACACACACGGTAACTCAGATCTGCACACATACAGTCCAACTGCATGCACCTACACAGTTGCATTTTTCTCATGAGACAAGTGTACAAACATTACCACGACCAAACCAAGCATTACAGACAAACAGTGTTCCTTACTTTGAGCAACCTCAAAATACAACACATATTCCTGTACCCCAATTACCTGTTCATTCATCTACAGGTGGGTCAATTATGTCACCGCTGCCAAAATCAGTGAGCTTTGTGACATCACCGTCAAACCATTTCCCCATGACATATACTGGTCACTTCATATCAGTCCCCTCATCTGCAAGTTTTCTACCTGTAATTTCCTCTACAGGTGCATTACCTGTCACATCTTCTATGGGTCACTTACCTGTTTACCCATCAACTGGTCCTGTCCATTTACCTGGACATACAGGAAATATACCTGGAAAAACTGCCAGTTCATTTCTAGGTCCCTCCACAGTCCACCCATCTGAAACAGTCATGGACGACAGGTCAAGAAGCAGGCTTGGTGAAAGACAAAAGAGTGAACCACAAACAACAGATATAGCAGAAATGATTCAGACAGAGGTACGGAGAGCACTACTTGCACTGCTTGGAGACAAACAAATAAATTCTGCGAATGGAGCCAGAAACATGACGACAGATGGTACTGACTCAAGTGATGATTCAGAAGTCTCGACAAAGGCGTCAGAACCTCCTTATCGACCCAAGCTTCATAATGTAAAAATTCCACCTTTCAATGGGAAGGAGGACTGGAGGATCTGGTTTGCCAGATTTGAAGAAATAGCAGAAAGAAGACGACGGACAGACCTTCAAAAATTAGACGAACTCCTACCTAGACTCCATGATACAGCAGCAGAGTTTATCTATGGACAATTATCAAAAGCTACACGCAGAAATTATTCAAAATTGACACAAGAGCTAAACAACCGTTTCAGAATAGTGGAAACCAGAAAGACGTATATTTCTAAATTTAGCAACAGACAGCAGAGACCTGGTGAGAAGGTTGAAGACTACGCAGCCGATCTCAAGCGTCTATATGATAAAGCTCATCCCAAGCGAAATTCAGAGACGAGAGATGAAGACTTACTGCGTAGATTCCTTGATGGTCTCAGACAGTGAAGCTCAATTCCACGTAGAATATGTGAAGGAACCCGAAAATATAGATGAAGCTGTGTTGCAGGTTGTGAGTTATGAGGAAACTGGTAGAGGACAGAAGAACAAGAACAAAACAGCTAGACAAGTTAAAACAGATGTCCAAAAACTGAGATCAAAAGTTCTAACAATTACAAGAAGTTTGGAAAAGTAAGCAGTGGAAATAGAAATGTACCCAGAGAGCAGACAAAAGAGCAGTTGACCATAAATGAGCTCCAAGCTAAGTTGGAAGAGATATGCAGAGAGTTGGAGGAAATGAAAAGAAATGAACTCTGCTACAAAGGTGACAAACAGTTTTCCTGTGGACAAAAGAAAAGAACCTGAAAATCAGGTCAATCAGTACAGAAACATCGAAGTTAAAAACAAGATACCGATGCCAAGCTGTTTTTGCTGCAAACAGAGAGGACATTTTGCACGGGATTGTCCAATGCAGAAAACACAGCAAGGGATGGGAACCCCTCATTTAAATGGCCAGTAGCCATTTCTGAGGGTCAAGAGATGGCTAATGAGACAACTGACCGACAGACGGACAGTACAGACCCCACAACTTTGGGAGATGATTTTATTTTTCCATTTTCAACAAACAGAAGATTACCAGACACTGATGGGATATACATTGAGGGAAAAATGAATGGGACTGATGTACATTTTACTGCTGATGCTGGTGCGTCTACCAGTATTTTATCATACAAGTTGTATAAAGCATTCTGAGATCAGCAGATAAATGTACCATTCCACCAATGAGTGAAATAATTATTCCTGCTGCTATTGAGAGAATTGCTGACCAAAGTCTACAAAATGAGAATCTACTGCTAGAACCTTCTCCTGATTTTACTGAAAATTCATCGTTGCTATTGGCGCCAGCAATGATAAACATCGCAAAGAGGATTACTGTTCCTGTCCGGATTATGAATCCCTTCAATGAATCCAAGACGGTGTTTCAAGATACAGTTCTGGGAACTGGTGAAGCTATTGAAGAGGTCATGACCCTAGTGGATGAAGTATCCAATGTTGGTGTTAAAAAGGTTACTGAATGTAATCTTACAGGAGATAATCAACTCCCTTTTAGCAGTGAAGTCAAAGTTCCAGAGCACTTAGTAGATCTTTATAAGAGTTCATCTGAATTACTGTCTGAAGAAGAAAGACAAATATTTAAAAAGCTACTACTTAATTACCAAGATGTGTTTTCCAGAAACGAATGGGATTTAGGAAATACTAATCTGGCAGAACATGAAATAAACACTGGAAAATAACCACCTCTCAAACAACCACCACGCAGAGTCTCTATTGCTCTTGCCGGAGAAGAACGAGAAGCCATCATGCAGTTGAAAGAAAAGGGGATCATCAGACCATCAACTTCCCCTTGGGCCTCACCATTAGTACTTGTTAGAAAGAAAAATGGAAAATTAAGAGTATGCGTTGATTACAGGAAACTTAATAGTGTGACAACCAAAGATGCTTTTCCTTCACCACGAATTCAGGACTGTTTAGATTCTGTGGCAGGATGTACTTTATTTACAACTTTAGACCTTACATCTGGTTATCACCAAGTCAAAGAACAAGATATTCCAAAGACTGCATTTGTCACCAAATATGGGCATTTTGAATATGTCACTATGCCCTTTGGTTTGACAAACGCCCCAGCTACATTTCAGCGAGTCATGGAATTGGCCTTCAATGGACTTCAATGGGAAACATGTTTAATATATTTGGACGATGTCATCATCTTTAGTAAAACTTTTGACCAACATGTCGATCGAGTTAAACAAGTATTACAGAGACTTAGAGAGGCAAAACTGAAACTTAAACCAGAGAAGTGTGAATTTTTCCAACCTGAAGTAAAATTTCTTGGTCACAAAGTGAACGCAAAGGGGATATTATCAGACATGCAGAATGTTGAGAAAATTATTAATTGGTCAAGTCCGAAAAATGTTACAGAGGTACGACAGTTTCTGGGAATGGCATCCTATTACAGGAGATTTATTAGGGACTTTTCTATGATTGCGAAGCCAATTACCAATTTGACAAGAAAGAATGAAGTTTTTCAATGGACCGCAGAGTGTGAAGAATCTTTCAAGAAACTTCAAACAATTTTAACAGGGCCAGAAATTATGGGATACCCTGATCCCAATCATGGACAATTCATTTTAGACACAGACCTATGTGACGTGGGAATAGGAGCAGTACTTAGCCAAGATCAAGATGGTCGTGAGCGAGTTATAGCCTATGCCAGCAGAACACTTAACAAAGCAGAGAGAAACTACTGTGTAACTGATAAAGAACTTTTAGCTGTGAAGTATTTTGTAGAATATTTTCGACAATATTTACTTGGTCATTCATTTTTAGTCAGGTCTGACCACCAGGCTTTGGTGTGGCTTTTCAAACTAAAAGAACCAAAGGGCAGAGTTGCTCGATGGATAGAAATCCTTTCTGCTTATAATTTTGAAGTAGAATACAGACAAGGAACAAAACATGGAAATGCCGATAGTTTATCCAGATGTCCCAATCCAAAAGACTGCACTTGTTCTTCATCAGAAAATATGGACACCCTCAAATGCGGACCTTGTAAAAAGTGCCGACTGAGAGCAGAAAATTTAATTCCCATACCTTTGTGTCCTGAACAATCAGATGTTGTCGCAAGGAAGGTCACTACCAGACAAAAGAATAAGGAATCTGCATTATCAGACTGTACTGTCTGGCATAGTCAATATTCCTCTGCAGCATTGCAAACCGCTCAAATTAAAGACCCTGATATTTCTCCAGTTCTACAATGGAAAATAAAGAATGAAAGGCCTAAGAAAGAAGAAGCAATTTCCTTCTCAACTACTACAAGACATTATCTGAGTTTATGGGACCAATTAGTTGTCAAGAATGATGTTTTGTACAAATGTAGTACTACAACACTTGGTGAAACCATAGAACAGTTTATAGTTCCCAAATGCATGAAGAAAGAAATTCTCGACATGTGTCATTGCTCACTTTTGTCTGGACATTTGGGCATTAAGAAGACCAAATTCAGAATCACTAGGCATTTTTACTGGTTAGAATTAAGAGAGGAGGTCCGGATGTTTGTGAAATCTTGTGAAAACTGCTCTATGAACAAACCTCCAGTACAAAAACCTAAGGCTCTTCTTGGAACAATGTCATATGGTGCTCCATGGGAATGTCTTGCCACTGACTTTATTGGCCCATTACCTGTTACAAAAAGAGGAAATCGTTACATACTTGTTATAATGGATTTTTTTTACGAAATGGGCAGAAGCGTTTCCTGTTCCTGACCAAACAGCTGCTGTAACAGCAAATGTCCTACTAAACGAGATCATCACTAGATATGGATGTCCTCTGATTATTCATTCAGACCAAGGTCGTAATTATGAATCATGTATATTCAAAGAGTTGTGCTCTTTGTTGAATATCAAGAAAACTAGAACAACGGCACGAAATCCGAAATGTAATGGGATGGTCGAAAGATTCAATCGTACTCTTATTCAAATGATTAAAGCTTTCATAGTAGACGACCATGAAGAATGGGATCTTCATCTCCACTGCCTTACATCAGCCTATCGATCAACCTGTCATGAATCAACGGGACTTACCCCTAACTTACTGATGCTTGGTCGAGAGATCCAAATGCCATACGAAGCAACACATCACTCTTTAGCTTCCAATGGAGAAGAAATTTCGTCTTATGGAGATTTTTTTGAAGAAATACGATCCAAACTTTACCACGCCCATGAAGTTGCCAGGAAACATCTGCACCAATCTACAAAACGACAAAGAGATATCTATAATTCAAAAGTGCTGGTTCATAAATATGCAGTTGGAGATATTGTTTGGTTACTCAATGAAAAGGCCAAAGAGGGAGAATGTCCAAAGTTGAGAAAAGCTTACATAGGACCTTTTGTTGTACTTAAAGTTTTAAGTGACCTAGTGTTTGAAATTCAATTTGATGCTCGTGGCGAGTGTAAAATTGTCAATCACAACAAGCTACTGCCATACATTGGAAGTACACCACCAAAGTGGGCACTGAGGCTGTCAGAGAAATTGAAAAACAAAACACGTCTACAGTAAAATAATACTGTCAAGTTATAGTTATGATGCATACTGTATGAATAAAGTTTTTAAAAGAATTAAAGGATTTGTTATCCTTTCAAAATATATGTGTCATAGTGAGTTAGACAACAAATCATGACCAATGTTACTACTTTACAAAAATGGGGATGGAAGGGTGGATATTATTGATGATGTTATTGTACATGTATGATGATTATACATGTTTAAAAAATGTTTTACATGAAAGTTTACATGTTTTACATTCAGTATTACTGTACTTATATTGTGCAGTTATTTTTTTTTACAGATTTCCAAGATGTCAGAGATTGTTTCGGCCGGAAAGAGAGGGAGAGTGTGGGAGTGTTGCTTGTGCAACTTTAGAGGAGAGCGCCACTACCTGTTGCGACATATGTATTCTAAACACCTTACTTTTGATGAATAGCCTTACAGATGCCCTGTATGTGGATACAGCCATTATGACTATAACAATTTCAAGAAGCATCCTCAATGGTACTCACTTCACTCAGCTTTGAAGGGATCTTCCGCTGTTCCCCTTTCAACATCTGCTGACATCAGGGAGGAGAGCAAGGTCGTCTTCAGCATGATCCGTCAGCTGACTCTTGAGGACTCTGCCACCCACTGGGAGAGGAAGCGTCGAGTCAACACCTTGGCACAGGTTCGACCACCAGCCCCTGTTGCTTTGCACACCATCCTTCCTTCATCTTTCCCTCCCAGTGGAGCTCCTGCCGATAACCAGTCTGTGTGGCTCCAGTCGTGACTCCCACTGATGTACCTGCTCGTCTCCCTGGTGTGCCTGCCACTGATGTGCCTGCAGCTGATGTACCTGCTGGTCCTAGTGTGCCTGCAGCTGATGTACCTGCTGTTGAAGTACCTGCTAGTCTTCTTGATCTGCCCGTCACCTCTTCTAGTATACCTGTTGTGCCCAGCAAGGAGGACGTTGACATTCTTACAGAGTTTCTTGTCTTTGAGGATACCAGCGAATTTGACACTGAGTCACCTCCTCGTACCCGAGACATAGGGACCAACACCTCCCCCTACAAAAACGAAGTCTCCAGGCTGAAGGAGATTGTCGAGAGGCAGGAGCGAGCCCTCAGGAACAACACGTCTGCCATCGTTGATCTGCAGCGGCTGCTCAGGGATAAGTTGGATGACCCTGCCTCTCGACACATCCACCTTGGTCCTGAAGAAGGTGAGAGGCCCCAGACTGTGCGCAGAAGGAAGTCCCCTCCCCCGCCAGCTGTGAAGTCGGTTGTATACCAGCCAGCGCGCCAACGACCAAGACCTAGGAGTCCTTCTCGCGCCAGTAGCAATTCCTCTCTTTTGCAGCATCTTTTCTCCCCTGACAGAAAGAAGACCAGAAGATTTTAAACAGGTAATAATACAGTAGGTAATAGATCAGTAATGTAAAAGTTTTCCTAACTGTAAATTAAAGTAAAATATACCTATTTTTTCTGGACATTATTTTGGCAATACATCTATTACAAAATAGGTTCGTAAAAATGGCAGTATTGTACATTCATTAGCATTCTTGAAATGGGTTTGATCCAACAATTGTTGTTCACTTAATTATTGAAAGTATGAAATTTTATTATGAGCATGAAACATTTGACATGAATGCAGAGTAATTTGTACATCAGTAAATTTTTATACAAATTGAAATGTTAACTCACTCTGTTTGTGTATCCCTGTTTCTTCTTGATATGAGTCTCTTGTGATCTGTTGTTTCTGCAAGATTCATATTGTTGATTGTTGACATTTTGCTTGTTAATTGTTGACATAAATATTTAAATTTTATGAATGTGTTTGATACATAAATTTGAAACTGTATGTTATTGGTTGTAAGAGTGCATATGGTGCATGTTGACATTAGAATTTTGTGATGGTTCATGATGTATTACATTAAGAAAAAGAATCTTGATTTTATACATACCAGTTGTATGATTGATAAGCTGAATACCTCATGTCATTTTCTATTGTACATATATCTGCAGTTGATTCCTCTTCTGTTATTACAGTGACTTGTAATTCCACGGTATTTGCTTGTTAATAATGTTGTTTTACTGTATATCAGTCCAAAGGGACATTTTTAAGGAGGGACAAAATGTAAGAATAGGGCTACGATGTATTTATTGTTGACACTTATACTAGAATGTACTTGTACATTATTTCGCTTTTGACATCGCCCCCGAAAGTTTGATTGGCGCTGTTTGTTTATGCATGCATGTTTTGTTGTTACGAGTATAAAAGATGTGTTAAATAATTTGTTTACTGGGTAAAGATCACTATTATTTAAAATTACCTGTAATCCACTGTTTATACGTATTTTGCTTTATTGTAAGGACCACATGTTGTTGATTCTTTTAGTAATGGCCGACTCCCAGAATGCAATGCGGTATTTGTTTACGAAGTTTAACGAGCGCTATTTTTTGATTATTTATTGTTAATTTATTGTAAATTCTTGAATAGACATTTAATGATACTAGAAGTAAGTAGACTTAAGAAATTAATGTTATTTCTATTTTTATTATTTTCTCGTAAGTGTGAGAATTTGATGTGGGAACTAGAGCATCCCGTTACGTTTATCATTGGTTGGTGTAATTTACGCGACGCTTTTCATTGGTCGCGTTTCATGATGTCATTTTACTACGTATATAACGAAGAGTTGTAACAGACAACTGGGATTTTGACTGTTTTTGAGTTCTAGAAAGGTGTGTTATTTGAGTTTGTTAATTTTATTACATTTATTACGGGATTAAGACTTTAGAATATTGGGATGGAGTTGGTCATGGTTTGTTATAAATAAGTAGGTTTATTTACAGCTATTTACTGAGCTGTTTACCGTGATCTAACGGTCTAAAATTACTACAGTCAATTTACGGATATTTTATCGTTGTAATTTCAATTACTGGTTCAATTTACCAGTCCCAATATCAGTACAAGTACAAAATACGTAGGTTTTAAGCATTTATTTGAAATTATTATTTTATTTGGAATTTTTGTTTTATAGAAATAAAATATGTGTTCAGAATAAACCGTTTATTTGTTAACTTTACAAGACTTGTCTTTATTTCATTTTCGTCCTGAATTTGGAAGTAAAGAGAGAAAAGAATTCATTTTAACATAATTGTCATACACTGGTGCGCTTATCTGGTGTCGTTACAATATCTTCATTCAAAAATAAATCACATTTACAGATATAAACGAAATTAACAAATTTTGGGGAAATACGTTACTTGCATTAAAATTATTATAGCAGGTTTTAGTGTATAACATTAATTTATACACAGTATTGAAACTTTAATTAAACAATAAGATAATTTCTTTGGTTGCTAGTATGGGAATTAATGTCTCACCTGTTTCAGAAAAAAACATAACCCGTCTACGCTTAATTTTGTTTATTTATTTTACATGTATGAAAGAAAACCTTCAATTTTTTATATTATGTTAATAATTGTTTTAAAGACATATATGTCAAAAGGCTCCTACACCCCCGGTTTAAGATGGCACAAAGGCTCCGATGTATCATGTGACTCAAAAAGGATAGCTTAGTGTGTCGACATGCTTGTTGAGACTGAGGATTATAGATTCACTTTAGTTTGTGTTTCTTATCATCATCCTAGTATTTTTCAGCTTTTCGTGTCTTCCTTTCCAGCTATACCATATCGGGTGTTTAGGACTAGTCACATTAGAATTGACGTACTGCCCGTTAAGGTTTGATCTGTGACAGAAACAATACATTGGAGAGGGTTTATATAGGCTATGTCTGCTGCCCAACCCGGTTATGCATGTATCTAGTTTATATTTCTTATCATCATCCTAGTCTTTTTCAGCGCTTCGTGTCTCCCTTTCCAGCTATACCATACCGGGTGTTTAACACTAGTCACATTAGAATTGACGTACTGCCCGTTAAGATTTGAGCTATGTCAGGATTTGTACCACCAGGCTCCGTGACAGTATACAGCACAGTTACCACCATTCTCGTCGTTATCCCGATCCTTAGTGGTGAATTTCATTCCATTGTGATACTTTAAACTGTCACCTGGAAAAAGATATTAATAACAGTTTACCGATGCGATTTTTTTTAAAAAATATTAATACAGTGGACCTTCAGATATCCGGACGCCAGATATCCGGATGCTTCAGTATCCGGACAATTTTTCATTGAAACGAAATTTTTTACACGTTATTTCGTCTTGTTTAACTGAAGATTCAGGTATCAGGTATCAGGGCGCTTCACATATTCCGAACAAATTGACAGGGAACCAAAGCGTCCGGATATACAAGGCTCCACTGTAAAGTAAAATTTCAAAACTGTAGTGAATATAGTCCTGTGTATTTATTGTACAACATTTAGATAACTTTAATCTTAAAAAACATCTTTCATGAAAAAGCATGTATGCTGAGACCTTCAACTCGACGTTCGGGCAAATCGACAATTAAACTAGTAAATTTTATTTATTAAGGTAAATTTTGACTAAAAGACGCCTAATAGTCGTTCAAATCTGTTTTATATCTGGATGTTAGACTACAGACGATGAAAGTCAACAAACAAAATGACTTCAGCTTTTCTGGTGTGAACTTATTTATGCAATAGTCCAACATCACTTGAATAATGATGACATTGTTCATAAGTATCGACCAACTGACTCAATACGCAAGCACATTCTCTAAACTAGAAACCAAGGCCAGCTAGTAAGAAAATACTTATTGTTTGGAGAATTTTAACAACCCATTTGATTTTTTTTCTTAAGGGACTCCGACCCTCAGCCAGGAAGGACAACTCTTTAATTTATAATTTAATTCAAAAAGTTTTTAGATAAGGCTTGAAAAATAAATCTTTTCATGCAGCAATTTTCATTATATGCCTCTCAGTGTGCTTTAAGGTTCTTTGAACTTCTCAGAAATGTCTAATTAAAAGTAGAAATTTTTATCCCGAAAAAGAATTTTTAGATACCAATGTTTATTAACATGATATGAAATTAGAAGTGATTTATGCAAGCTTCATTTAAAGACTTTTTTAATTAAATTATAAATTAAAGAGTTGTCCTTCCTGGCTGAGGGTCGGAGTCCCTTAAAACAAATTCTACTGTCATTATAATGACTTTATTTTGTAAATACAACCAATGGATGGATCGTATTTTTGTGATGTACTGTAAACCAACTTTATTGGCATTTAAGAAATATTCGCGAGTTTCGCAATTTACATTTAATCGCGAATATTAATCGCCACGAACCATTTATTTTGCTTTGCTTTTGTAGAAAATGTTTCTTTATTCGTAAAAATTGATCGTCGGGGATTCATATCCAACTGACGGATCGCGAATAAAAGATGACGCAAATAATAGTTGGTTTACAGTATTTCATGAAGTAATGTCAAAGTTCTTGAACAAAATTTGCCACAGCACTTCTCTGTCAACTTGATCAATTCAGGGGATCACAGTGTATGCAATCGCTTGACAGGGGATACCCACTATTCCTTGGCACCTGATCCCACCTCTTTTGTTTTCAAGGACTAGGGTTTTTCTTTCTTAAAGATGTGTTTTGTTTTGCCGATTTATTGACTATTGCTCGTTACTTTTTTACACAGATTACTAATATTTGCATATTTTCTTTATTTTATTCACATAAAACCTGTGACATCACAACCAAAACTTTGATCGTATTTTAAATTATGCATTTTATAATTCGAATTTAAAATTCACACTATTGTTAATCTTTTTATCCATCAAGGGAAAGGAAATTTTGAGCATAAAGTATTAACAGCATAACATGTAAACCTATAATAAACACACCTGCGGATCCAAAATACTCCGACAGGGTGAGTACGTATTTACTTTCTTCATTCCCGACATAAAATATATTGTACTGAGCGTATGCTTCAGCGCCATCAAAATCTTGTAGCTCAACACGGAGTTCATGGTCCTTGTTCTTTGTCAGCTTGTAGATTGCATCATTTCCTTTTATATACAAAGCAAAAATATTATTTTATTTAACACCATAATGAATACGTTTTGATGTCTAGAAAGCTTAAAGTGCCTTCTATTTTGGTTTGAACAATAAATAAATCTCATAAAAATTACAAACAGTACAATATTTTAGAATGAAAACAAAAAAAAAAAAAAAACATTTTCCAGCTACTTGTTTTTATCGCAAATCAGTAACACGGGATTGGGGTTCAAATAATAGAAATATCTGTTGATATCCTCCAGTATTTACAACACAGAACATTTTATCTCCTTTTTAACCAGACAAAATTATTCTTTGATTTTTTTCTTAAGATTTGTAAAGCGTTTTTTTATATTGATAGAGAATCTTGCCATCTGGTTTTTGATTCAAGTTCGAGATATTCATGTCCTCATGGAACTATTGTAGGTTCACTATTTGGACTCAAAAGTATAAGTGAGAAAAAAAGACGGAAATATTTTAAAAACCTTTCTTAAGAAAAAAACAATGTGACCCTGATGGGACTGTGATCGAGATATCTCTCGTTCATTTTAGAAAAGATTTCTGTTGATATTGAATATTTACAACATAGGAATTTCTTGATCATTACTTTCTATTTCTCATTAGACTAGTTCCT